ACAGAGAGAGCGATAGATAAATGTCAAAATGTCAAAAGTATAAAACCTGTCTTCACACCAAAAGGACCTTGACCCTTTGTACCCAGGCAATTTCAGCATCTTGGCTCAAATCTCCTTTTAAAATTAGATTTTGGAGCTCTAACCCCTGAAAATGTGAAGATACGTCAAAAGGATTGTGTACAGACTTGACTTTGCACCCCAGCTACATGAACCATGGTCAGACAGCGCTATAAATCAATCAAAGTCTTTCATTGGCATTGATTTTCTTGATTAAAGAAATGATCATGGTCCTAACCACAACCCTCCTTGATGCTTTTTGCTTTGTGGAAAGGAAGCACAGGAAGTGACATGGTGTCTGATTTATGCCTGTGAATGATACTCCTGTTTTAGATGCACTCGGAAAGCGAGGTAACACATTTTGCGTTGATTACCTCATCTAATGTGGTTAGAGGTAACGGTGACCCGTCTCAGAGGAGCCCAGCCAGACCTAAATCATATTTCAGATCCATTAAAGTGCACACCTCAGCATTTGTGCTCTGCTTCTAGCGAGTCGTTTACCCCAGGTCCCGACTAATTGAATTTCAAAACTGAGGCCCGGAGGCGCGTCCTCACCACTTCGGCCCAGTCGTCTGTCCGTATGTTAGCTCGAACGCTGTCCAGCGACGTGCGGTGAAGTTTGTGACGAGCCTTTCCTGCATGTTTTCGCAGTTTCCCTCCTCCAACACACCTGATTCAAATGATCAGCTCATCAGCTAGTTCTGCAGGATCCTGATCACGATCCTGATCATTTGGGTCACTGCCACATGCTAGCAGTGGCTCGCTACATTCATGACTCCATTCTGCAATTTGAGTACATAACCAATATATGCGTCTTATGGATGATTTAAAAATATATATATTTTAAGTAGACCCATTCGTTTATATTGTGCCTGATAATACGATGCACCTAATGCGCCCTAAAATACGGTAAATGAAGGGCATTGATAGTTTCTTGTCTGTACAATGTAATTTCAGTGAGTTACCTTTTTTAAGAACACACCTGTTCTTTCCTAACAATTGTTTTTTTTTGTATACTAGTTTTAATTATAATTTTAGCCGTTGTCTACTAAAATAACCTTGGCCCAGTTCAAAGAAGCCCGAATTTTGAGTTTCTCATTTTTTCAAGGGAAACAAGTTTAAATTCCAACATACTACGAAGAACTCGAATCTTCCACGTTAAATCGATGACCGAATAGTTCCTCTCTGTGTTGAAAGAGGAAGACATCCTCCTCGCAGAGCTTCCTTCGGCCTCAATACGTCTTAATTGCTTTCTGCTAATGTGAGAAGGGTTGCACTGGAGGGATCGACTTCCCCTCCACTGTCGCCTCCACTGCTGTTCGGCATCGCTCAGTGTAGCCGGCGTCTAGACGCCACTCGATGGCGGATCAATCACAACACCCATTTGCCAATTAGGCTCCTTGTGCATTATAAATAAACACATCAGCGTCACAACATCCTCGGCTGCTGCTGCTGGATCGCTGTACTGTCACATTACATCCTCGATACCGACTCTCATGTGAAGTGACAATCCACTGCTCAATAATGTACTGTCGTCGATTTCAGAGATGGCAGAAGTACTCACTTTCTGTTACTTAGAAGTACAAAAACTTGTATGTAAGCAAGATTTTGTCACCGATGGGGACCTTTACAGTATATTAATGGTCACAGAGAACGCTGTCCAGCTAGCGAAACTAAGCTAGCATTAGCAATGTGAACTCATTGATGTTAGCCAGGGCTGTTGGCAGCATGCTTTCATATCACTCACAATAGAGTGTTACGACAACACTAAATGGTTTAAAATTTAATGTTTGGAATGTACAATCAATTGGAAAATCAAAAAGGCAACAAACTTAGCTGTCAATCAGAAACATCGTTAATTTTGCGCGGCTTCAGACTCCTCAGCTGCCCAAGTTCTCTTATTTCTTTTTGATTGTCTTACGCCCAGTGTTAGCACATTTGTTTTAATGTTTTGAATTGACTTATGGCCAATAAAAGATGCTAAATTAGTTAATAACAACTGAAAAAAATACCATATTTGTTTTTCCACATTACGATGAGAATTTTAGAAGCTAGTTTTTTCTTTATTTTATTGTTTTTGATTTTTTTTTTGTTTGTTTTTTTTTTGCTGCTGTTCAATCATTTTGTATCATTCATGTACAGGTGCCATATACACTGCTGCTCGGTCACATTGCCTGATGTTGTAAATATGTACAGTGCATCCCTAATAACAACTTAAAAGAATTGAATAATTTAAACACAATTTTTTTTTTCAACAACCAATGAACACCTGCACACCTGCCCATTTAGCCAGGCCCACAACAACATTAATAATGCAAGGAAACATCCCTGGAGGTCTCCTTTCTGTTTCATCAAACCTTCTGTTCTTCTACTTCATACTGAAATAACAAGCGTTGGCTGACATCTAAAAAGTGTGCAAACGCCGCAGTTAAGATTTCAAGGTGTATTTCATAATTGATGATGGGGAGCTAAAGCGAGAGAGTGAGTTGATGCAATGATACAAGTTCATACAACAATTCTTGGCAGAATGGCCCCCACCTGAAAGAAACTTACACGCTTGTCCCACCTGTCGCTTTGATGGCAGTTATGCATGTTGCATGAAAAATAAATAAATAAAATAAAAACAACGTATAATGCAACAGTGTTCATGACTTGCGTTGTTGTATCCAATCATGGCATTCCTCAGAGATGTGTTCTTTTTCCACTTTATTTGCTTTATGGATATTTTTAATCGTCATTTTTACATAATACACAATACTTTATTGTTTGGGCAGCACGGTGGTCAACTGGTTACCACGTCGGCCACACTGTGCA